TCCAAGGCGCCCAGCTGCTCTTTCCCCCTCCAAGGCTCCCAGCTGGGGCGGGCCAGCGCCTATAAGGGGGATCCCCGCTGGGGCCCGGTGCCTCCCTCAGCCATGGACCCCCGTCGGCTCACCCGGGCGCTGGTGCTGCTGGGCCCGGCCTTGGCGCTCGCCCTAGGCCCTGCCCTCGCCCAGGAAGCACCCGAGAAGCTGTGCGGCCACCACTTCGTGCGCGCGCTGGTGCGGCTGTGCGGGGGCCCGCGCTGGTCCCCCGAGGATGGGCGACCTGTGGCTGGCGGCGACCGTGAGTAGGGGCGGGCGAGGACTGTGCTGTGAGGTCTCTGGGGCCGGGCGTGGGGCAGGTGCATGCAGACGGGTTTGCGTGCATGTTCTGGGGTCCACCTGCCGGCTGCGCGGGTGTGTGCAAGTCCACGGGGGATGCGCCCCCTGCCAGGACCGGGAATCAGTGCGCGGCGAGTCTGAACAAGTGCGTAGTCAGATCAGATCCTGTCTTTATTTACAGTTTCAATATTTTGATCTTCAGGAATTTCTGCATTCATTTTAATTTAAAACTGTTCCGTGACAGTATGTTTGATCTTGGTTGTTGAGGTTTTTTGGCGCCCCCTTAAAATCGTGGGCTCCAGGCCCGAGCCTAGCTCTCTTCACCCTAGTCCCGGCCCTCGTGCAGGGAGTATCAAACAGCTTTGTGTACAACGTCTGTCACATGCGTGTGTGTCCTGTGTGTGTGACACGGGTACAGATGGGTGTGCAGAGGTGCTCAGGGAAGTGGGAGGGGCTATGAGGGTGTGCGCCTGCATCTGTGTGTACATGTATACGTCGTATGTCACCCCTTCTGTCATCTGCTCTGTGAAGTGTCTGTGCCTTCTTACCATAGGTGACACGTGGGAGTGTGCATAGCTGGGGACTTAAGTGTGGTGTGGGTCGAGACTGCACACGTCCGGATGGGGGATTCAATCTATGCCTGGTATACACTAGTCACTCAATAAATGCTCACTTTCTGTTTCTGTGCATGATGAGTGGAGGCTGTGTGTGCAGTGTGAGTGGGGTCCTCTGGGGTCCCCCCTGTATGTTGAATTCCTCCCTGTCCCCAGGTGAGCTGCTACAGTGGCTGGAAGGACAACATCTCCTCCATGGGCTGATGGCCAGTGAGGACCCCGTGCTGGTACTTGCCCCACAGCCCCTGCCCCAGGCCTCTCGCCATCACCACCACCGCCGCCACCGGGCAGCTGCCACCAACCCTGTCCGTCACTGCTGCCTCAGTGGCTGCACCCGGCAAGACCTGCTGACCCTCTGTCCCCACTGAACCCTCCTGGGGTGTGGACTTGGGGGAACCCGAGACCCACAGGGGTCCAGTCTGGTGAACTCCTAATGCCACACAGCACCATGAAGCCCCAGTTCTGGGTGGACTTTGTTGATTACCTCCTAGGACAAGGCGCTCGCCACCTCACCGAGGCCACCTGTCCTCTGGGGGGCCAACTGAGGAAAACACCAGATCCCAAACCTGGCTTGGAGGATCCTTGGTTTTGTGGAGATGCCAGACACCTGTTCTCAAATGTTCTCACCTCAGAGGAGCCCCAGTTACCCCGCTCCCTGCATTTGACACCCCTCTTGCTGTCTTATCAATAGTAAATAAATAAGATGCCTGCAGAATCTGAAGAAACTTTTTGCATTTTCTCAAGAAAAAGGCACAAGCCTGGGTCAGCCTTTGTGTGGAATTGTCCTCTGGCAGCCATGGACCCACCAACACTTCCAGAAACTTAATAACAATTGGAGAATCTTCACAATAAAAAGTGGAGAAACTGAGGCCAAGGGAGCTGGCTGTTTGCCAAGGTCAGACAGGGCGGGAATGGTCAAGTTCAGGATTCGAATCCAGGTCTCTGTCATGGCTCATGGGGGGCCTTAACCTCATTTAACGTCCAACACAACACATGAATGTCTGAATGAGTCACAGTGGATTTTTTTTTTTTTTTTTGGCGGCACCGTGGGGCTTGTGGATCCGTAGTTCCCTGACCGGGGATTGAACCCGTGCCACCTGCAATGGAAGCATGGAGTCCTAACCACTGGACTGCCAGGGAATTCCCCTCACAGTGGATATTTAGTGATCCAACTCTCACCATTCTTTTCACTTGCATCCTCCTTTCATCCTGAGATAGGAATTGTATGATTTGACCCTCTTGAAAAAAATGCTCCGGCATTTGACTATGTGATCTGTTCACATGTGTATTAGTTTCCTAAGGCTGCTGGAACAGCCACAGACTGGGTGTTTTAAAACAGTAGAAACTTATTCCCTCCCAGTTTTAGAGGACAGAAGTCAGAAATCAAGGTGTTGGCAGGGTTGATTCTTTTTGAAGGGCTCTGAGGAAGATTCTGTCCCCCTGCCTCTCTCAACTCTGGGGGGCTACTGGCAATTCTTAGCTTGTAGGTGCGTCACTCCAAGCTCTGCCCCCATTTTCACATCGTCTTCTTTTCCATGTCTTTCTGTTAATTTCTGTCTCTTCTAAAAGCACTCTCATTGGATTCAGAGCCCACCCTAATCCGGGATGATCTTATCTTGATCCTTACCTTAATTACATCTGCAAAGACTCTATTTCCAAATAAGGCCATATTCTGAGGTGCCAGGTGGATGGGAACTTTTGTGAGACACTATTCAATCCGGTGCAG